AAAAAAAGAAAAAGAACACTTTCTAACTAAAAATCCGCGAATAATATGCACAAATTATCGAAATAACAAAAGTCACACATTTCATCGACTTTCCAATTTACTATTGAAAAATTTTCTGCAACGCGTGACAACCGATCTTCTTCCGAATCGGTAAAAATCGAAAGTAACGAATCTTTGCCGCACTTAGCTTTTTTTTATGACAATGGTGATGCGAAAATATGATGAAAAATTCACGTTCACTTTGTCCGATTACAAATCGGAGGTAAAAAAACAAAGGAAGTAAGCGTATGCGCGAATATGCTGGATTTTTGGCGGAGATACCGAATCGTATGAACGCCGCTTTCGATTGTTATCGGGACGTAGAATTATCGAATCGGTTAAAAGAAACCACATTCGATCAATGTAAGATTTGCATTTGTCTGAACTATAAGATTATCGTCCGTATTCTGCGATTGACTCCTGTTTTTCACGTCCGAAATTAAAGACTTGTTGAAATTAGTCTTTAGTTATTGAACTCAAATGCTTGAGAGCTACATCTCTATAAGCCTTAATATGTTAGAAAAATTCGAGCAGCGTTATAATAATAATTCTGGCAAAAAAAAAAAGAAAAAGTAAAAAATGCTGAAAAATCAGTAGATGAGAATTGACAAGAAAAAACTCGCGAGTAACTTTTCTACGAGGAGCGCCGAAAGTTTTAATCAAAAAATGCAAATTTTACATTGATCGAATCGTTCGAAACCTCAGGCAAACGATCCTCATTCCTGCATTTAAATTTAGACTTGAATTTAAACGATTAGCATTGTATCGACGATCAACCAGCTACCACTTTGTTTCACCGATTCGCGGGATCGTGATCGATCACGAGATACCTTTTTGTTGGACGATCGTTGTCCGCTCATGTTCTTGGCATGGTTTCGCGAGACTGGCGAGACTGGCGCGAGATCGGTCAAAACAAAATCCCATCTCCCCCTCCTGGTGCCCTGGTATATTTTATAATTAGTCTCAGCGACGAAGTTGCGCAATTTTTGAAAGAAGTCCGCGAGCCTCGCTACGAAATATCAGGCAACGCAAATTTTCCCAGTGGACGACGACTACTCACTGATCGCGCATCTTTATTCTACACTTGTTGGTTGTTGTACGCGAGAGAATGGAATATATCAATAAACTACTTCAGCGAGCCACTGTGATCCCGGCAAGGACGTCATCGCCATCGTCATCGCCATCGCCATCGCCCACGCAATCGGTATTTTGCGTCTAACCAGTCGAAAGTCCGATTAAACGCGTATCTCTCGCGTCGTTGAATTGGTAGGAGCAGACCGTAGTCTTTTTAGGCTCGTTCGAGCGTGAGCTACAGCTGAGAAATTTCTCGTTAATTAACGCGAATGTAGAGCTTCGAATAACTGAATGAGTTCAAGGTTGGTTCGGAAGATCGCAGCGCATTATTATCGAGATTCGTTGGCGCCCTTGAATCTTTCAACAATTTCCGCTGATTCCTTTTTCTGGAGGTTGTTTCTAGAATTGCGTGAATTCTTCCGTTCGAAATCGCAGCCAAAATGAGTAATAATCGAAATAAAGGAAATAAATTATAAATGACACGTTTCACTATTTCTGTTTTATAGAGTGGCGGCGACAACTCGGTACCAAAGAATGAGGTGAAGGTCCGATTCGCCCGCGAGTTCACCGACGTTGGATCGATCGCTTATTCTGCACCGGAGAGTCTGTCCTCTGCAAGCAGCTTTCAAAGTCTCAGCAGTACTTTAAGCACGAAAAGCAATAGCGGTATCTATGCGGATTTCACGCCTCAAAGCCCTAGCCAGGTTTCAAACGATTCGTACGTCAACTCGAATATATCTGGTTTGGAGGACCTAATTGCCGGTTGTGCAGAGATACATTTAAACAGCGACGATGATCACTCGTATAGGACTCTTCAGAACTCGCAAGATTTCAGTCAGGATCAGACGTTTGCATCTGCCACCGATCAACCGGCCGACATCAGCAAAAACCTCTCAAATGATATTTCCTTGACGAACTCTCAGAATGCCGTCGACGATAATTCGACAACACGTGAATCTATGTCTGCGCCGATCAATTTTACAAAAGTAATTGATGATGAAGCAACTTTCGGTACCATCTGCATCAAGGAGCCTGCAGCGATTATAGAATCAAACAGAAGGAATAGTTTTATACAATTAGAGACAATACAGAGATCGGTTACTCCTAATAAGAGTGACGACTTAAGCAGCGGTGATCATCAAATGAACAACAACCCTGTTGATGATACTGAGAAGATTCCACTGTCGTGTAATATAGAGATATCTAATTTCAACTCAACGGCGTGCTTGTCACCTAATAAAGAAGTTACAAACGTCTCTAGGAAAGAGGAACCTAGATTAATAGAAAATACCCCTGTTGATGAGAGTTCATTGCCATGCAACATAGAGGAATGTAACTTAAATTTGACGGTATGTTTGTCACCTAACAAAGAAATTATAAATGTTCCTAAGGAGATAGAGAACAACGTTATTGATGATATTGATGAGATTCCAGTATCACGCAGCATAGTGGAATCTAATTTAAATTCGATGCTATGCTTGTTACCTAATAAAGAAGTTACAAATGTTCCTAAGAAGGAAGAATCTAGACCGATAGAGAACAACGTTATTGATGATATTGATGAGATTCCAGTGTCACGCAGCATAGAGGAATCCAACTTAAATTCGACGATGTGCTTGTCATCTAATAAAATTGTTACAAATACTCCTAAGAAAGAAGAATCTAGATCGATAGAGAACAATGTTATTGATGATATTGATGAGATTCCAGTGTCATGCAGCATAGAGGAATCTAATTTAAATTTGACGATGTGCTTGTCACCTAACAAAGAAGTTACAAATATGTCTCAGAAAGAAGAATCTAGATCGATAGAGAACAACTTTATTAATGACATTGATGAGATTCCAGTGTCACGCAGCATAGTGGAGTTCAACTTAAATTCGACGGTGTGCTTGCCACCTAATAGAGAAGATACAAATGTTCTTGAGGAAGAAGAATTTCGATCGATAGAGAACAACTTCATTGATTACATTGATAGGATCCCTGTATCGCGCAATTCAGAGGATTCTAGTTTAAATTCGACGATGTGCTTGTCATCTAATCAAGAAATTACACATGTACCTAAGGAAGGGGAATCTAGTTCGATAGAGAACAACTTTAATGATATTGATAAGATTCCGGTGTCATACAATCCAGAGGATTCTAGTTTAAATTCAACGATGTGCTTCTCACCTAATGAAGAAAGTATACACGTTTCTAAGGAAGAAGAGCCTAGTCCGATAGAAAACAATTTAGCTGAGATAGCTAAAGAAGAGTTAGATACGTTGAACATCGAACAACCAAATTTTGAGGAACTACAATCTGCCGCTGAAGAGTTCGCTAATGATGTTTATAAATCCTCGTTGCAATTCTCAGGAGAAAACGAGCCTTTCATCAACGCGACATCCGAAAGTAAGTTTTAAATTTAGTTTTAATACTCTAAATGTCGATGAATGTTTATTAATAGTGATTCTATACCGCAGTCTTTCAAGATCCTACAAGTTTTGATTTTTTGATAAAACATGGCAATTCGAAAACTGACAATCGTTTGAGGGCTGAATCCTTGTATGTAAAATTTGACCCATTGGTAGCGGACACCAGTATGTCTACTCAAGGAAATATACAATTCATGAAGGAAGAACAAAACGACAAAAATGAAAGCATTACGAATAGTGATACTCCTAAACATAATTCAACGAATTTTAACACTCCTAAATGTAATCCTGCCATAGCAGCTATAGATAGGCTACTTTTTTATAGCCCTATTTCTACAAATATCACACCGAAAATAAATGAACTTCAAAAAAAAGAAACAAGTAAAGTACGTTGTATTTCGCGTTTTTACTAATATTATTAGATGAATTTTTAATGATAATATATTTATGAGACACTATTATGATATCTATATTATAATACATTTATATTATATATACAGAATCAGTCTGCAAAAGAGTCTGAATCAGACACTCCGCTTATTATCGACGTTAATATGAATAAGGAATTAGAATTAGTAAGATCAACCGTATTACAACTAGAAGAAAAACTAGAGAAACAAAAGAAAGAGCATGAAGCTGAAATAGAAAATCAAAGAAATGCTTTTCAAGAAAAAATTAACAAGTTACAAACACAAATAGTGCAAGAGATAAAAAGTAAATCTCAAATGACGTAAGTCATTTTGAATTCTCCTTACAGTATTGTTAATATAAATATCTACATAATATTGTTAATATGTAAATAATCGAATTATTACAGAGTCGTAGTCGAAGAATATGAAAAATCGATTAGTCGAATGCTTACGGAGAGAGAAAGAAATCGTGCTCATTTCGAACAGGAAAAAGCAAAACTCCAAGAAGAACTGCAAGCTACAAATGTTCATTTAAGCAACACAGAAGCTGCTTTCAACGATGTTCATCAAAAGTATGAAAGGCTTAAAGGATTCGTATCCGTGTATAAAAGTAATGAAACACTATTGAAAGAGAGCATCCGAGAGAACCTGGAAACAATAAAAGGTTTGGAAATGCGGTACGATCAACTGAAAAACCATGCGAAAACCGAACTTGAAAAGTAAGTATTTAAAAAAAAAAAAAGATATTTCAGTATGAAAAACACAAATTATGTATTTGCAAAATATTTCAGAGCTAACTATGAATTGGATGCTATACGAAAACAGCATGAAGATGAAACGACAAAACTTCATGCATTAGTAAGGAGAGCTGAATTAAAGAGCAACTCTTTGGCCGAATTGGTAGATCAGAAAACTAAAGAAAATAAGGAACTAACGCAAATATTGGACGAAGTTATTGCCAGGGTTGGTCATCAAAGTGCAGAATAAAAAATGGAAAATTAAATAAAAGTTGTAAATGCAACGCGATTAATTCGGCCCTTAAACGTACATACAGGATGCAGTTGAAAGTTATGTATGAGCAGGCATTAAATAATTTAAAAAAAAAACAAAATCTAACAAATTAAAAGTATAAAAAAATTTTTTTTTGTTTTGTTTATAAAAAGATCGAATTAAAAAATTTATTTAATGCGTATCAGTGCTAATTATCGATTGGATACGAATAAGTAATTAGCAAAAAATTATTCTATGTTGAAAAATAAATGAAAAGTATAGAACAAATTTTTCTTTAAAAACTCGTTTCTAAGAATATAGATTTTACATGTTTAGTTATAAATTGATATACGTGTACTATGTCTAGTAATGTTCAAATTTAATTTTATAAACCATGAAAATATCTTGTTTCGACTCATTTTTACCTTGTTAACAATAACTTGTTAATTATTCATTTTCGACTCATTTTTACCTTGTTAACAATAACTTGTTAATTATTCATTTTAATTCAGTCTAGAATTAGCCAAGTTCAAATATACTTGATAAATATTCAATCTAAATTTTTTTCAAAAATTAGATTTCAGAGGAAAAAATTTTATTCTATGTTTTTTATTTATCTTTTCACTAGTGGGTACTTATACATAATTTTCGACTACATTCTCTCTATGCAGATGTATTGTTTCTAAAATTATTAATTGCAAATTATGTGTTCTTTCAAAAGAACACTTTTTAATGATTATTATAAGTTGTAAAATATATATATATAAATATATAATATTTTATCACTGATAAAAAAATAGACATACTAAAAAGAACCTTTCAGTTGATGTGAGTTCAGTTACAGTGAAAAATATCTTAATATTCCATAAACAGATTATGCATTGATATGCGATTTGTTATAATATATTTCAATATAATATCTTACTATATTTAAATAAATAAAATTCATTATTCACACATATACTATCTTGATATACAAATATTATTTGATCATTGATATAATAAGTAATGTATTTTATGCAAAATTAAGTTAACTTTTTGTCTTAAGTCTCCCATTAATTATAAATAAAGTGTGATATCTTGCTAATTTTAACAAATGTACGATCTCTTGTACTCTCTGGAATGCGAGAAATATTTTTATTTCAGAGATCAGATATAAGAGATAATAACATACGTTTACATAACATTATACATTATAAAAAACAATTGTTCGAACGTACTTTAAAATGAAATGAAGAAAAAAAAATATAAATATATGCTTGCATTTTTCTCTATTCAAGGATGTCTTGTTTTTTTTCAGTTATATTACTAGATAAGTATCCTTTCCATAAATTGTATTATTATATAATTCACGAGAGTAATCAGAAGACCTTTACATTCATTTGCATTGTGATTTTTCAATTCTTTCTTTTCAATTCTTTCCTTCTTTGTGTTATGTAAATATACAAAATAATAGTGCACGTATTACAATTAATATTATATTAAATTTGTAAAAAGAAGCAAGATAGGTTATAAAAAGATGAAAGTGCAAGACTTCTAGTTATTAAAATGAAAATTTCACGACGAAATTTACATTATTTTGCATATAATGAAGTGCGGTTCTCTATACATATCAAAAACTTGAGAATAAATATTTATAAACCCGATTGTTAGCCCTATTTTTTTTTTTTTTTTTTTTTGTAAAGAGAAAACAAAAGTCAAAGACGTAAAGAGAAGACAAAAGTCAAAACTCAGTTTTTGCAAAGTCGTTGTGTTATAAGTCGTTGTGTTATAACTCGTTTTAATGAATTATTGTTCAGTAAAATGGCGAAAACAGTTTTAAAACTTCAATCGTTTTACTTGTAGTTCCTTAACTCACCGTTGTTTAAATGTAGAGTGCGCTAAAACCAGTGTCTTCTTACTACGTCGGTATTTCAGGTCAGTATTTCAAATCTCGCTTGGTCTATTCATATACCTTGTCTGGCTATAACGCATCGTGATTGGTTGTTGCGTTTATATTCAAGTTGTCAAATGTTGAACGACCGTTAAGAAAGCGGTTGTGAGCTAAACATTGTGCGGAAAGCAATATCAAAGGCCGCGTACAAGAAATTTCTACGAAACAAAGTCATTTAATTTATTTTAGTACTACATTATTAGTGTTGCAGCGTTGTAGTGTTATAAAATTTACTTTTAACGCGAATTGATGCTTGAAAAAAGCCGTGTCTTGTGTCTCGTTGAACAATATGCAATGTGAATTGTATTATCAATACCATTTGATTTGTCTATAAGACATTTCACAGTATCGCGTCGTGTTTGCAATTGTTACGTTTAATAAAACTATCAAGTTTGTGATAATAATTGCGAAAATATCATAAGAATGTCGAGTCCAAGAAGTATCGATAATTCTGTTCGCGAAGGAATTGGAGTAGTGCTTCGAGAGACCACTGCATTCCTTCATAATTTGTCACTTATGCTACTTCCTCGTCTTGAGGTATTTATACATATATGCTTTTATATATATATTATATACATATATGCTTTTTTTTGCAAATAATAACGCGTCTGCAGTGCGGATGACAATTTTAAATTAACATATCTCATGTTCTTATTGTTTTAGTTTCTTCTATTGCAAATTCTCTTTGCCGAAGAACGTCTTGAAAGAATGAACTTTTAATTTCCAGGATCATTTTGGAACGAAAATTTTGCTCGTCGGGTGAATTTTTCTTCTACACTTTGTACATATTCTCTCATCTCAATGATATCACAAAAATAATTTTATAGTATTTTATATTATTAATATTACATTTTATATTGTTTTTTTCAAAATTCTCTCATCAAATGTTACAAAATTACAGATCATACTCTCCCCGTTTCGTTCGACAGTTGCGTGTCTGGCGATGATTGTTTAATTCTCAATTTCGAAGCAATTCGAAATTGTTCAATAGCCATGAGACTTTCAAGATTCCGAAACTTATTAAGATCCAAAGTTCGAGTTATCAATACTTGAAAACTACATCCCAAGGATCAAGTAGTATGTATTTAAAATGACGATGATGAGAACGCGAGGTACACCGTCCGACTTACACAATAACTTACATTTTATCCACTCAGCAAATCGAACAACGATTATGGAGTATTTACACGTCACTCCAGATAGCGCCACGCCGTCCCACCATTCGGTGCTATGGAATCATGTCCCACCATTTCCATAGTTGGTGATCATTGTAGCATAATGCTCGTGCGGCGTGTGCGCGGTTCGACGTTACGACAGCGGCCTGCAAGCAGCAAGTGTTAGTTACGCGTATCATCGTGGCGAGACGGTAGCGATGACTCTCACGTTGTTGATCATCCTTTACGACCTAGAAACAATTCGTTCCATGCTGGACGTGCTCTAGCCGCAAGCGTTCCCGACTGAACGGAATTATCTGACGGATTCGCGTTCCCCAGGTGAGACGTTCACATTTTGGTAGCATCCGTGTGTCTGTCGTTGTACGCCGGTGGTAGTGCGTTCATACGTACACACGCTTACAGATACGATACGATGTCGCGAGCAGGTCAGTGGTAGTGGTGAAGAGTATCGACTGGAGAATGCGCTGGCGCTAATATTAGAATTTCGGGCAAAGATATCATCATCCTCCTCCGTTGATCGCCAGGTCACCGGGGTGAGTGTCTTCCGAGTGGCGAATCCTTCCAATTCTGGAAAGGCAAGCGGACCGCAAGGAGGCGATCTGTTGTCTGAGATTTAGTTTCACGTTGCTTGTCCTTAATCGTCGCTGTTCTCCATCGTGTGTTGTCGGACAGAGTTCGTTCAACGGCAGGCTATGTTCCGTTTTCTCGTGAATCGAGATCGATGCTCAAGACGGTCGTCAAAGAAATGGAGCAATGACACAGGGATGAGAGAGAGAAAGAGTGAGACACACCCCTCCGATGAGAGAAATGTCTCCGATTCTCTCTGTCATCGCGACCAGATGGCAGTGAGTCATAGTACGCGTTGTGGTGGTCTCGATGATGTCAAGAATACGCCGAATAAGGAGAGCACGAGGTTCTCGAGTTTCGAACGGAATTGCCTGTGATATTGCATCGGTTCGTTCGCTTGAACGCTTCGTGTACGGTGAGCTCGAGCAAACACGTTCACTTTATACCGTAGGTTTAACCAGTAAAAGCGCCTACAGTATAATAATCCACAGTTTGCCACGGTTCATGGAAATGTCCCCGTCATTTTAGACGATAAGGCATTCGAATAATTGATGCATTCGATGTATGTGATTTATGAAGACATTAGATTATATCGCTTTTGTAGGATGAGTTACGAAAAACAAAATTGTTTTATTAAACAATAACATGGGTATCCAATTTTTTTTTATATTTATAATGTCTTTTCCGTTCAATTATCGTATATGAGATAAGTATTATCTTTTATGTTAGAAAAATGTGTTGTTTCCTTGGTAAAATCATGACATTCGTTTCCACATCTCGATATTTCTGTAGGTGTCGCGGGACCATCGTCTTTGAACGTTTCTGTATGTTTTAAATCGATTTCCCGCGAGTCTGTAATCGAACTTCTTCGCGGCGCATTTGCGAGAATACGAAGGACGCGTTCCGAATAGACAACAGATTTTAACACACTGTTGATTAGCTGTCTTATGTAGAAAGCAACGCGTGCCGCGAATAAAATTTCAATGATGAAAATTCAAATTCAAAATGAAAATCAAAAATTTAAAACAATTTGTAGTATAATGAACAATGCCATGATGACAACATTTATTACAATTTTATACCTTCACATTCGAACTATCGACAGTTGAATTTGTATCAACCCCCTCCCCTTCAAAAAAGAATGTAGGCTAATAACAAAATAGGCACATGTTTAATGCAACAGAAAAAACAAGTTTACAAAAAAATTTTTTTAAATATATCGTACAGATGTGTCAAACTTCTATGAAAAGTTATGAATTGATCGTACTTAGTCTACACTTTTAGTATTAATAATTTAACTAATTAATAGTTAATAATTTAACTAATTAATAATATTAATAGTACAACTAGTCAACAATGTATTATACACTGCGAATGCTGAAAACCACTCGAGATTAAAAATAAATTAGGTACTTCGGTCTATAGGTTTCGCGTGTGAACTGACCCAAATTCAATTGTTACCGTCGTGTTTCATTTTTTTCGTGTCAGGTCGTTGATTTTATTGATAAAATCAATATATTGTCAACGTGCCTATAATTCGCATTTAAAGATGACTCATTAAACATTGCCACATTGCGTGCCAATTTTCCATCCTCTAATTTCAAGCGCGATTATCTCTATCTATTTTTTAAACAATAATTTTGATCTTAATTGACGTAAAAGAAGATATGATAATGGTTCTTTTCATTTCTAATCAAGTGGTACAAGTGGCAAAATCTTTGATTTGAAAAAACTGTGGATAAGTGAAATTTTAATACGAAGCTCTATGTATTTATTTATGTACTTAACGCATATGTTCGTAATATCTAGATTTATTTTTAGCATGAAAAGTGTATTATACTTGGCATTATTAATCATCTTTTATCATAAAGAAATTTAATCATTTCTAATAAAATAAATTGAGGAAAAATTTGTCTGCTAAGGGACTGAAATACTTTTATTATACACGTATTTATATAAATTTGGATAGTACACCATTTTCTGCAGTTATCACTTTTTCACTGAATCTTTCGATCGTTTGTTATCACATTTCAGTTATATAGAATTAATTACGTGATTAATCAGTATCTCTATATTTTCATTATAAATATTAAATTGATTCTAAATATTTATGGTCACTCTATTACTATTTATGCTATCACTATAGCTATTAAAATCTACACAATTAAACGATATGGAAACATAATCTACAATGTAAATATTACATAATTACAAAAGAAGCAAAACGACATGGAAAAAAAAACACTATTAATATTCATGGAATTACTTTGTGAAACAGCATCAACAGTAGATACGTACATATATGTACATATATATGCATAATAGTTAGTATGTCGGATTAGTGCGTGGTTTACATATTCTACTTTCTAAAGCGTCTGTCCTCCGTGAAAAGTTTGTTCGCCTTTCTAATGAGATTTATTTTCATGAGCTTGAATCAGATCAGAATTGAGATGTAATAAATTAATTAAGCCTTAATTAAGCGCAGAAATCGGACGACTTTGAGTAATTGTACTCTTGAATTTAAATCCAAGTATAATATTTAACTATCTCTATTATGATTTTCTCTCGTCGATCAGATTAGACCTTGCATCTTCCAACAGCTTCCGCTGATTCCTTTTTAGGGGTTGTTTCCAGATTGTAATTGGCTATCGATTCATCTTTCATTTGAAATCGTGACCAAAGAAGAACAATAATCGAAATAGAAAAAATTAATTGTAACTGATGTAACGTTAACACTGTGTTCTTTCTGTTTTATAGAGTGACGGCGACAACTCTGTATCAGAAAGTGTGGAGCAGCATGAGGTGAAGATTCGATTCGCCCGCGAGTTCGCCAATGTTGGATCGATCACCTACTCGACTCCGGGAAGTCTATCCCCTGCAAGCAGTTTCCAGAGTCTTAGCATTTCAAGCACAAAAAGTATCTGTACGAATTTCGTGTCTCAGAATCCCAGCCAGATTTTCAACGATTCGTACGTGAAGTCGAACGTATCTGGTTTAAAAGGCCGGTAAAGAGAGATACATTTAAACAGCGACGATTATTATTCATATAATATTCTTCAGAACACACAAGAATTGAGCCAGGATTAAACTTTTGCATCTACCACCGCCCAAACAGCCAGCAAATATCATTAGACGCTACTATTATACTAGCAGCAATTTGCTGCTAAAGAGTTCGCCAATGATATTTCTAAATCTTCATTGGAATTCTCAGAAGAAAACAGGCCTTTCATCAGCGCGACATTTGAAAGTGAGTATTTTTATAAAGAAATTTTCCGAATGTTAATAAATAGTTTATTAATAGTGATTTTATATCGCAGTCTTCCAAGTTCCCACGAGCTTCAATTTTTTACTGAATTACGATAATTTGGAAATTATCAATCGTCTGAGGATTGTGTTCTTGTATATAAAAATTGGTAGCGGATACCAATATGTTACCTCAAGGAAATACACAATCCGCAAACGAAGAACAAAACGGGGAAAGTGAAAGCATACCAGCGAATATTGATACTCCTAAACGTAATCCTGCCATAGCAGCTATAGATAGGCTACTTTTTTATAGTCCTGTTTCTACAAATATGACCCAGAAAACAGATGAACTTCAAGAAAAAATGGCAAACAAAGTATGTATTTAGCATATTTTACTAACATTTTTACTAATATTGTTAGATGAATATGTATATTTATATCTATATTTTATATATGTGACCAGCCTACAGAAGAATCGGAATCACACACAGCATTGATTATCGACGTTAATATGAGTAAGGAATTAGAATTAGTAAGATCAACTGTATTGCATTTAGAAGAAAAATTAGAAAAACAAAAGAAAGAATACGAAGCTGAATTAGAAAAGCAAAAGAATGCTTTTCAAGAGAAAATTAACAAATTACAAGCACAAATAGCGCAAGAGATAAAAAGTAAATCTCAAATGACGTAAGTCATTATCTTTATAGTATCATTAATATAAATATTTACATAATATGTAAATAATCGAATTATTACAGAGTCGTAGTCGAAGAATATGAAAAATCGATTAGTCGATTACTTACAGAGAGAGAAAGAGATCGTACAAATTTCGAACAAGAAAAAGCAAAACTCCAAGAAGAACTGCAAGCTACAAATGTTCATTTAAGCAACACAGAAGCCGCTTTCAACGATGTTCATCAAAAGTATGAAAGGCTCAAAGGATTCGTATCCGTATATAAAAGTAATGAAACAGTATTGAAAGAAAGTATCCAAGAGAATATGGAAACAATTAAGGGTTTGGAAACGCGATATGATCAATTGAAGAACCATGCGAAAACTGAACTTGAGAAGTAAGTATTTAAAAAAAAAAAAAGATATTTCAGTATGAAAAACGCAAATTATGTATTTGCAAAATATTTCAGAGCTAACTTTGAATTGGATGCTATACGAAAACAGCATGAAGATGAAACGGTAAAACTTCATGCGTTAGTAAGGAAAGCGGAACTAAAGAGCAACTCTTTGGCCGAATTGGTAGAACAGAAAACTAAAGAAAATAAGGAATTAACGCAAATATTGGACGAAGTGATTGCTAGGGTGGGCCATCAAAATGTTGATTAAAAAGCGGGGAATTACACAAGTATCGCGAATGCAATGCGATTAGTCTTTATTTTTTTACTCGGCTCCTAAACGTTTTAGACACAGTCATATGCTAGCAATTGCTAGACAGAGTGTGGTCGAAAGTTATATATAAGCAGACAAGAAATGATTCTTCATAAATAAAAAGAAAAATATTCAGTAAAATTTTTTTATTTAAAGTTTTGTTTTCGAGAAACTTAAATTTGAAGATTTCTTTAGTACATATGAATTAGTTAATTATTGACTGAATACGATTTTGTTATTCTGTATGGAATTTAGTTTATGTGTAAATTTTTCTCGTTTAAGAAAATAGACTATGAATATATTTAGTTGAGAACTGACTTGACATATGCATACGCGACTATTTGCTAAATATTTAAATTTAATTTCTTTACAAATAGAATGTATGAAATAATCGTAAGCATGAATTTTATTTCATATTTCTGATTCATTTTTACATATAAAACTTGTGAAATTATTGAATTTCAATTCTAAAATTAGCCAAATTTAAATATATTCAATTTTAATTTTATTCCTTATATTTTCCATATTTTTTTTTATATAAGAAATCAGCTCGTACAAGTTCATATATAACTTTCGATAGCACTCTGTATGCAATATGCACATGTGTTGTTTCTAAAATTATTAATTACAAATTGTTTTCTTTCAAAGAAGCATCTTTTATTAATTATTTATAAGTTGTGAAATATATATATAAATATATATATATATATATAATATAATATTTTATCGCTAATAAAAAATAGGTATATTAAAAACAACCTCTTAGTTTATATTTATGCAGTAAAAAATATCTTAATATACCATAGTTCTAACATTTACACATCACGCATTAATTGTTTTATGCGATTTGTTATAATACATTTTCATACAATATCTCACTATATTCAGATAAATAAAATCTATTGTTCATACATATGCTACCTCGACATACAAATATCAATATTTGATTATTGATATTTATATGATAAATAATGTACTTTATGTAAAGTTAAGTCAATCTTTTTTTATATATCAATGAGTATTGTCAATTTGTTGGTCTTGGATCAATTACAAACAAAACGTGATATTTTGCTAATTTTAACATACGATCACTTGTACTTCCTGGTTTGCGAGGAATATTCTTATTCTCGAGATCAGGCATAAGTTTTTTAATGATTCGTGCCAAGTTTGTAGCATACTGCTTAAATTGTGGATGAGTCATACCTATTCCTTTATCTCGTAAGGCCTCTGCTACTGCCC